CAAAAATGTATATTTACCAAAATACCAATGTTTTAAGTCAAGAAATGTTTACAAAAACAAAAAATCTACAATCACAACCAGAGTGGGGTGTAATGCATTCCACAGTAAAGCGTTACTGTGGTCTAATAAAATTTTGGGGGAATAAAGTATTGTAATGAATTACATTTTAAATTTGTGTATAACTAAAGTTAGTGTAATTGCGTTACTTGCATTACAAATATAGCTTTTAGAAGAAAAAAGCTTCTTTTAAATCACGTTTTCTGCTGCATCGTCAGTAAATGAGCATGCGTTGTTAAATTGCTGGTAAACGCAAGTTAAAATGGCTACTAAGGAGAGTGGTTGCTCCTTTAAGTGGTTGCTCCTTTTGGAAATACAGACATCACTTTGATTTCATTGAGCGTAAAAACAAAAAGTATTGCTGTGAAATGCAGTCTAAAGAACTTTGACTGCTTTTACCTCGACCAGCAGCTTCCTTAAGCACTTTAATAGAAAGCATTCTATGATAACCAATGGCACCCAAAATCACAGTGGCCCAACTCAGCCTAAATTGATTTTTTTTTATGTGCAGCATCAGGAGTGGAGGTATCTTCTGAACACGAAGAGAAGCGTAGCTGCCTGTTGACCTTATTCTAAAATGCGGAAGTGCGCCTGTTTTCGCGATTGTCTTAGAACTTCCGATTCAGTCGCCTATGGGAGAAATGACTAGGAATAATAAACAGGAGAAAACGGTCAAACTACTTGCTCTACAAACAAATGTTTGCATGACTCTACAGACCAAGTAAAATAATATAATAAGAAAATATCAAATTGCAACATCAAGCAGCGTAATGAGCAGTTTTTAACGTTAAAAAATGAATGGAAGTGAATGAGACCGGAAGTCTCAAGCCAAAAAGATTCAAATGGCAGCGCCCACTCGTCAGGGGAGAATAAGGTGAATAGGGCCATTCACATATTGCATCTTTTGCGCGCACATTTCCCAGACGCACCCAGATGAAAACGGTGAGTCACGCGACAAAAACTGACCAATCAGATTATTTGGATACACATTTTGGTAGACTAACTACCTCAGACAAACAAAGAACACCCAAACACTGCAGGGCTTCTTCATTGGATGTCAATGGTTACAGGTAACTTCAAAATAATTTGTAATCTGATGACATTTTACATGAATTAGTAACGTAATCAGATTACAGTTTTTCAGTAGTACTTTGTAATCTATTTTTTAAAGTAACTTTCCCAACATTGATCACAACAAATTGCTTGCATTTTTTTTCTGAAAAATAGGCAAGTAAATAAATAAATAAATATTACTGTATTGCTATTTGCAATTTGGAAAAACATATCTAGACATTTAGAACAATATATAAATAACAAAACAAGTTTTCTCTTATTTTTTCTCCAAACATACACACAAATTGGGTTTATATTCACACATTCGGGTGAAATTATTTTAGAAGCCCGTGACTACCAAAGTACAACATTGTTCACAGTCAAATAAATAGTGATAATGCTGTTTTAAAGTCATCCTTGCATGCGATTTCAAACCCAATATTCAAAGGCTATACCATAAACAATATACTATAGGGAGCATGTCACAAGTTGTCACTGAATGAATGTGCGAATATAAAACCAACTTTACCAACTGTACCACGTGGAAATTAACAATATCAAAAACATTATCTCAAATTAATACATTATAGTGTATTGATTGCATATAATAGACTTCAAACGTGTTTTGCAAGTAAAAACATCAATCGCGGACCAATACACGCTATCGTTGAGGCGATATAATGTGTCAAATTATTAATATACAGTGGTACATTTTGTTAACTTGACGTGTAAACAGTCTGTCGCAGCTCTCAGTGTGCAGGAAAATGAATTACAGATATCGTGATGATAATCATCACCCCCTTTAAACAAACAAAAACTGTTCAGTCAATGTCAGTGTGTTAGCTCCTGTCACAAGCTAACCTTACAATTTCTTTGACATTTACAAGCAAAATAAATTCTCTACTTATGTCCTTATAAGTAGCACAGGAGCATTCATTTGTTGATAACATAACTGTTTTCACGAAACATATAGCCTACATCCAGTGTTTTGTACTTCCAGTGTGAAGATAAGCGTATAAGCGGACTACGGGTCTCACCTGACCGCTGCACTCACCTGAGCATTCTGCGCATTCCTCCGCCGGCGACCCTCCGGTTTGCTTCGGTTTAGACTTTCTTCGGATAGCGTTTCTCCTCAGTTCACTCATGTTGTCGGTATTTCGCTCCAACATTTAACAGATTTGGCGCATGTACTGAATCCTTTGCATATAAAAAGCGGTCGTTTTATGTCCCCACAGCATTTCACCAACGGTTGTAGTGTGTTGCGCAAGTATAGTAAAGTGAAACGTTCGGATTAGTGTTGGCTCTTAAAGCTGTACACAGTACTGAGAGTCATTATCGCTTTATCAGCCCACATCACCGCCCTCTACCAGCTCAGATAGCTCGATAGGTCTAATCATTTCCTCTGAGCTTGTGCGGACTCTCTACTGTAAATTTGGACTTACCGAGTTGAGTTTAGGAGAATTTTGATTCACCTCAGTGAGTCGAATCTTTTCGTTTGTTTACCGGTGTTTTGCCTCAGGGAATGATTTGCATTGAGGGACTGTAACGGTAATGAAACACACCAAAAAATACATAAACAGCTGTATATAAGACGAAGGTTTGTGGAGATTGTTTTGTTTTTTAAACATTTAATGTTCATCTCTCTAAAAAAAAGTTAATATAAATGAACACAGTTAAAAGTGAATAAGCAGAAATCTAAAGAAACAGAAAAGCAGAAAGCAGAAAACACGTCGACCTGAAAAGGAATTTAGATTCAACCCAGTGAGTCGAATCCTTTACCTGTTCACCTACTTAGAAAGGTTAGATAATCATATCAATTTTTATATAAAGTTATTAGGCAGTAATTATGAAGCAGACAATACTATAGACGATTTACTAAAGAACTAAAGTAAATTACTACAAAATAAAAGTACTTTACTAGTTTATGGCAGCAATAAAACACTCAAAGACCTACATATTTCACAATACAACACATGTTATAATCTATATTATTTAAAAAAAATACACATTCTGTCTTTTTTTTTTAAAAAAAAGGACAAAAATCTTAAAATCTTATTTTTAGTTTTATTTCACAAAAAAGTATGTGGCTTATGGCTGTATACACATAAAAAATGTCCTGCGGCAAGATCATGCTTTCACCAGTACACACCGTATGACATTGTGGGTGTTATTTAGCACATTTCACTTCAGAGGCAGAAAATCTACCACAACATACTGTAGTTAATAAAACCAAACTCCTCTTGCTTCATTGGAAAGATTGAAAATGAAAAAAATAAATAGTCTTAAACACCAAATGCAGTGTCAGACCTAATAGAAACTGAGAATCGGGAGCTAAAAAGGATTGTGAATGAAACCATTGATCTTACATCCTTCTTTGTATGTCATTAAATAAACTGAGCTTTGTTCTGTTTTCACAATGAACACAATTCAGTTTTAAGAAACTTCTGGTTATTTTCTCATCCAGACACATCAATAACCTTTCAGTCAATTGCTTAGACTAAAAATGCATTGCTGTTTACTGCTGTATAAAAACAATGTCCAGCTGGTACTCATTAAAATGATTCTGTGGCTTTTTCAAAATGCATAGATTTGTGCTGTATTTGTGCTTTATATTAGGTACAAATTAGATAAAACCAAAAGAGAAAATGAAAACAGGAGATACTCAGAGAAAGATTCCAGTGAATATGGGACAGTAAATAGGCTCGTAAGCTATTTTTGGAGAGTAATGAGACTAATAAACCCACTTCATGTTCAAATTTAGCAGTGTACTTGGATCAAGCCCCACTCAAACTATAACTCCACATCCTCAAACATGATTTCTGCCTGAAATAGGCCTACATGTTCACTCAATCCTCAATGACTTATCTGACTTCACTTTGGCAATAAAAAATAAGTATAAAATATAATCTTTATGCATTAGCATGGCAATAAATCGTTAAAAAAACAAGAAAGAAACATGCAATAACGTTAGAGAAGATTTGCTAAATAAAAGTCACTCAAGTGTCATATTGTAAATTACGTGGAAGCATGTCTCAATAATTAAATTACCCAACCTACTGTATATTCACCCATCCAAACAGCTCTTTCTATCATGTCACACCTTTTTGTAAAGTTTTAAAAATCAAATATTGAGAACACTTTACAATAATGTTCCATTGGTTGACATCTGATTATGAGTAATTTTAATTCTTGGTACATTTAGTCAATAAAAAACATGTTAAATCAGACTCGTTTAATTTAATTTTCCTTCGGCTTAGTCGCTTTATTCATCAGGGGTCACGCAGCGGAATGAACCGCCAACTTATCCAGCATATGTTAGTTCATCCAATTCACCTATAGCTCATGTCTTTGGACCGTGCGGAAACCGGAGCACCACACCAACACAGGGAGAACATGCAAACTCCACACAGAAAAACCAACCCTCTCAGCCGGGATGCGAACCATTGACCTAAAGAATTCTTGCTGTGAAGCGACAGTGCTAACCACTGAGCCACCGTGTCGCACTAGATCAGATTTATTCATTAATTCATTTTTTTTCTGGGTTAGCCCCTTTATTAATCTGGGGCTGCCACAGCAGAATGAACCGCCAACTTATCCAGCATATGTTTTTTACACAGCGGATGCCCTACCAGCTGCAACCCACCACTGGGAAACATCCACACACACTCATTTACACACACATACACCATGGACAATTTAGCCTACCTAATTCACCTATACCACATATTTTTGGACTTGTGGGGGAAACTGGAGAACCCGGAGGCAACCCACGCAAGCACGGGGAGAACATGCAAACTCCACACAGAATTGCCAACTGACCCAGGCGCGGCTTGAAACAGCGTCCTTCTTGCTGTAAGGCGATTGTGCTACCCACTGCGTCACTGTGCTGCAAAACATAGCTCTGTAAAACATAGGCTGGAATAGTAGGTGGTTCATTCCGCTGTGGCGACCCCTGATAAATAAAGCACTTAAGGCTGATTTATACTTCTGAGTCAAGCATACGCGTATTCTCCGGCGCAGCCTTCATGCAGTTGCATAGAATAGCACAATCTTTGTGATTGGTCAGCTTGGTGGCTGTGACCAGTGTGGGTGGGACGAGAGCTGCGCAAACTCGTGTTTACAAATGTCGAGTCCCATGAAGTAGCTATAGATGGAAACTTGCGCCGTGGTTCACTCCAAACTCTTCACTTTAACTCTTGCACTCTGATTACTCGACGCAGAAACGTTAGAGTCTAAACCAGCCTTAAGCTAGATTAAATGAATGAATTTAATAACTAGCTTACTTTGCTAGCATGTGCACAATTAGCTTTTCATTTAAGCTAATCTTCCAACTCTGCTCTGGTTGTGTCTTTAATAACTTAACAAAGATTGAATATATTACCTTTTATTATTATTCACTGCCAGCTCATGTAAACGAATGTAATATTGGAACATTATTGTAAAACAATACCCAAATATTAGTTTGGTCTGTTAATCACGCGCGAGTCACATTTCATTCTTGGGTTGATAGAATTAATACCTCTATTGTTTTGGTTTAAAAGTGTGATGTTTAAGCAAAGCTGCACCCATATCCAGAAGCATCCTCATATCCAAATTATCAGACAAACCATATATAATACTGTGAAATAAACAAACAAGAACACAAATAATTTAAATAATAAATAGATAAATACATCAGTCCATTTCTCACATACTTTCACAAAAGACATTGTTGAATAATTCATCCAATCTCTGGAAATTGGGACGTGTCCCTCAGGGATCGGAGATAAAGAGGAGCATCTGATTGGCTGGAGGTCTTGATTGACTGATGAGCCCCGCCCCTTTATTTGTCTCAATGAGGATTGGACACTTTTAGAGATCACTGACAGGACACTAAGGGCCAAAAAGATGAGAATGTTGGGCCAGACAGTTGAAAGGGTCACATGGAAGTCTGGAGATGGCCGCAGGTTTCTGGTCCTCTTCAAGAGCTAGTAACACACTAGGACTGTTAAAAAAATAAACAACATTGCCAGAAGAAAGAGAGAGAGAGGGACAGAGAGAGAAACAGTGATCATGAGTTGGTGTCAAATTAAATCACCATATCCTGTTTCCTATTTAAACTTTTGCAACAGAAAACAAATAATTGTATAGCTCAGACGTGAACTTGAAGTTTTGACAAACATACAGGGTTACATGCAACAGCAAGAAGCTTTTAAGCAGGCAAAAAAAGGACGGGAGGAAAGGAACGTTGTCTATATTTGACAACTCAAGATGAAAGGGTGATGAAAGGGCATCTGGGGTCAAATTTGAGAAGAAATAAGATCTTAAAATAAAAGTAGTCTCTTAGGCTCACCAAGGCTGCAATAATTAGATCTATACAGTACAAAAATGTAAAATATTGTGAAACATTATTGCAATTTTAACATATGTTTAAGTAGTTTATTGTTATGATGACAAAGCTGAGTTTTAAGAAGCCACTACTGCAGTCTTCAGTGTCACATGATCTTTCAGAAACCAATCAAAGTTTTGCAAAGTAATTTAAACAGTTCATATTATTATCAATGTTGAAAATTATTGTTGCTGCTTTTTTAATTTTGTGGATATAATTTTGTGGATATTCCATTGTTTTCCCTAAACTATCATTATTATTATTACATATTTGAAGTTAGCATGATAATACATAGACCTCAGAGAGCAATAAATAAAAACAAATCCATTTTATCACACCTTTAAAGGGGTGGTCCAGAGTGGATTTTTAAGGCTTGTGTTTATAAGATGCAAAGCAATGTGTGCTCGTGCTTCATTTGTAAAAAATCACGTTATTTTTTTAAATATATCTTACTTTGATTATATATTGCTACTCAGCTGGCATGAAAATTACTGTCATATTTTTAGTTCCTCCAAAAGGCTCATCTTCAAGAGGCTCTGATTGGTCAGCTAACATAACATGCTGTGATTCGCAGATCGGCTCCACGTCACCTGGAAAAGCGTCACGCCTCTAACAGCTTTGTAAATACTGTAGCTGAATCCCAAATGGCACACTATACACTATGCACTCATGCACTATGTACTTATGGACTTACCCACTCAACAGCGTAGTATATGTATGTAGTGTTGCCCTACATGGAACACTAATGTTTTTTTACTACACAAAATTTCCAACTGTTTCCCATTTGACGTTTGCCAAATTAGTGAAATAAATTAACAAAGTGCCAAATAATACCTGCCGTGAGTATAACCGCATTACCCATCGGGAGGCTCTCATAGAAGAATTTCGCTTTCACAATCCCAAAACAAATAAAGTTATCGTACATGTGTGCCCGATAGCTCCGCCTCTTCCGCTATGTGAGCAAAAGTGTGGTCGTTGATTGCGTAAAGTGTCCAACATTACACACTTCATTTTACCGGCTGAATGAGTGCATTATCCAGGTAATTAAAGTGCTCTTATTATTTTTATAGTTTTCATTGTTAACGCACTTCTTACACTATTTAAACTACAAAATGGCATAGATTAGTGCATAAGTATGCGATTTGGGACGCACCTTGTCAGTCAGAGTAGCTGTTAGCCGTATTAGTTTGAGCCTGAATCAGACAGTAAATAAAGAGGACACAGCTTAACGTCATGCCAGCTCTCTAAAATAACATCTGACAATTTCTTTCACATACATTCAAGTTATAAGCATGTGTAAGTAATATAAAATGTTTACATTTGTTTTACAAGTTGGTTATTTGAGATGTAGAATGCAGGGAAAGCGGCCGCACAGAGAGACACAGCAGCGCTGCTGAAGATTGTTGCTTGTTTAGGAATTTGTAGCTAAATTGTTAGCGGTGCCAAACAGCATTTGCTGTTGTTTACATTCTTGTTTACGTCCTTGCTATAACATACTGGTAATGCTAATAAACTAAAACTAAAATAATCCACAGCTTCTTCTATTATGGTTGGAGCTGCTTTTTATGGAGGAGTTTCAGCTGAATCCAGCACTGAACTGGCAGAGATTCTATAAGCTGTCCTTTGTCAAATGCTAGCTGTATATTATTTTATAATTCCCAGGAACATAATTAAAATGAAATTGTAAGCACTTCTCTCTTTGTGTCGTGTCCTTTGGAATCCCAAATACAAAAGCAGAACAAGCTCTGTGGAAACAGCATGTTTGGACGGCATTTTAGCTTTCTCTGTTATAACATTACAGCATCTCTGGCCACGCCCTTTTACTGTGCAGGGTGGATGTGCGTGGTGAATGAAGCGCTTGTGATACCACTAACCCAGTGTGGTGAGAAATTGAGTCACCCCTGAAATAGAGGGTTGTTACAAGATCTGATATGGATGCAGCCGGAATTAAATGAAATGTATTTATATTATTTATATAATTTCCCATTTGTTGTATTTTATTATCGTCTATCCTCCCCAAGCATAAACCCAACAGTCACAGTAACGTAAAAACTGTAGTTGTATCGTGTATTATCTATGTTATCTATTAAATTACCCAATAAATTGTACTTTTTAAGGTCTACCCACACCTCAACCCAAAACCCAACCATCACAGTACCAAATATGAATTATTGTTATAGAGTGTCATTAAAAAAATGCAGCTATATTAATGTGCATATCGATCTTCCAGCCAGCCGAGTATTCAATCTACACTTTACGCAATAGAATCCACTTAGGACCCCAATGGATCATCTGCATTTAATGCTTGATCAAAAGCTATTTCAGGATAACTTGTTAATCCTCTTTACTAAATAAAAGCCTACACTAAATATAAAGTACTAAGCGAAACGCAAAATACATCTCATCAAACTGCTGAAGGTTAGACTAAATGGGATAGATACATGTAAATAGACATTTCTATATTTGGGAGAATTTTATTGACAAAGGGGTGTGTATACTGTATGTTTGTCTCTCTTATGTCTGTCTTATGTGTATTATAGTACTATCGTCATTGATTCAGCCTACTCATACAAGTGCATCACTTCACACATATAGTTTCCCAGTAATTTAGTTTTATGTCATTATAACATTTTTTTAAATGACAAAAAAACGAGAACAAGATTTCGTTGCATTTAAATATACAGTTGAAGTCAGAATAATTAGCCCGCCTGAATTAATAGCCCCCATTTATTTTTTTTCCCCAATTTCTGTTTAACAGATAGATGATTTTTTCAACACATTTCCAAACATAATAGTTTTAATAACTAATTTCTAATAACTGATTTATTTTATCTTTGCCATGATGACAGTAAATAGTATTTGACTAGATATTTTTCAAGACACTTCTATACAGCTTAAAGTGACATTTAAAGGCTTAACTAGGTTAATTAGGTTAACTAGGCAGGTTAGGGTAATTAGGCAAGTTATTGTATAACGATGGTTTGTTCTATAGCGAAAAAAATATAGCTTAAAGGGGCTACTAATTTTGACCTTGAAATGGTTTTTAAAAAATAAAAAACTGCTTTTATTGAAGCTGAAATAAAACAAACAAACAAGACTTTCTCCAGAAGAAAAAATATTATCAGACATACTGTCAAAATTTCCTTGCTCTATTAAACATCATTTGGGAAATATTAAAAAAAAGAAAAGAAAAATTCAAAGGGGGGACTGGATGTATTTTTTTGTTGTCCCCAAACTTTGTTCGTAGTAACTCTGTAAAGCCAATGTCTCACTTTGCATTGAACTTTGAGTGTGTTACATTCAGAGATGTTGTTTATGTTCACAAATCTACAGTACTAACACATCAACTAAAGTTTAAAATATGATATCATAGTATACCACCCCTTTAATAATGTAATGCACACTGAGTAAATGTATTATTTTAATAACAATAGGGTTTCCACAAACATAATAAGCAGCTCAACTATTTTCAACATTAATAATAATATCTCTTTAAAAGCAAATCAACATATCATAAATTCTGAATGATCGTTTTAAAAATTGCAATTATTCCAAAGAGTAGTGAAAATTAGTTGAGTTGTAAAAGTATGACCAAATGGGCGAGTGCTGTTAACAATACTTTGAATTTGAATTTCTGACTCTACATGTGACGTTCTTCTCTTATTGACCAATAGTGTATATAGAGGAAGCAATAGAGAGTGAGTTCCTCCACGGGACGGTTACCTGTGGGCCGTGGATGCCCTGCTGCGCCTCAGTTGTGGGGAGGACGGCGGTACTGAGGCAGCAGGCTGCTGACAATCTAAGAGAAACTGATAAATTAGACAGATATACAGAGGTGTGACAGTCAGGGTTAGTGACACAAACACACACACACACACACACAAATGAAAAGTGAGCACAGAGGAAATGGTTGCAATATAGCCTGACTTTATAGGTGTGATTTTATGTGTTAATGTCATGCAGAGTCATACGCAGAGCATGTAGAATGAGAGTAACACCAAATTATTAGCTGCTATTAAAGATGGAAATAGTTTAAATGTAGAAGGAAAGTTTACTAAATAGACATACAGTACACCACCATTCAAATGGTTTGGGTAGGTTAGATAAGTATGAAAAAATACTTTATTTTTTAATAAAAGACACTAAAAACATAACAATTTCTGTGATGCAAAGCTGAATTTTCAGCTGCCATCACTCTTCAGTGCTAACTTGTATATATACAGTATATATATATATATATATATATATATATATATATATATATATATATATATATATATATATATATATATATATATACACTCACCGGCCACTTTGTTAGGTACACCATTCCAACTGCTTGTTAATACAAATTCACTCAATCACATGGTGGCAGAAACTCAATGCATTTAGTTTAAACCGGGTAAGAAAGGTGATTTAAGTGACTTTCATGGTTTTTTCTATTTCAGAAACTGCTGCTCTACTGGGAATTTCATGCACAACCATCTCTAGGGTTTACAGAGAATGGTCAAAACAAGAGAAAACATTCAGCGAGCTGCAGTTCTGTGAGCGCAAATGCCTTGTTGTTGCCAGAGGTCAGAGGAGAATGGCCAGAATGGTTCAAGCTGATAGAAAGACAACAGTAACTCAAATAACCACTCGTTACAACTGAGGTATGTAGAAGAGAATTTCTGTACACACAACACGTCCAACCTTGAGGCGGATGGGCTACTGTAGCAGAAGACCACACCGGGTGCTACTCCTGTCAGCTAAGAACAGGAAACTGAGGCTACAATTCGCAAAGGCTCACCAAAATCGGACAATAGAAGATTGAAAAAAATGTTGCCTGGTCTGATGAGACTCCATTCAGAAGGTAGGGTAAGAATTTCGCAACAACAACACAAAAACATGGATCCATCCTGCCTTCTATCAATGGTTCAGGATGGTGTGGTAGTGTAATGGTATGGGGGTTATTTTTTTGGCAAACTTTGGGCCTATTAGTATCAATTAAGCATTGTGTCAACGCCACAGCCTACCTGAATATTGTATACATCCCTTTATGACCACAGTGAATCCATCTTCTGATGGTTATTTCCAGTAGGATAGCGCACCATGTCATAAAGCGCAAATCATCTCTGACTGGTTTTTTGAACATGATGCTGAGTTCACTGTATTCAAATGGCCTCCAGAGCTCAATCCAATAGAGCGCCTTAGGAATGTAATGGAACTGGAGATTCGCATCATGGATGTGCAGCCGACAAATCTGCAGCAACTGCATGATGCTATCAAGTTAATATGGACCAAAATCTCTGAGAAATATATTCCAGTAGCTTTTTGAATCTATGCCACGAAGGATTAAGGCAGTTCTGAAGGCAAAAAAGGGTCCAAACTGGTACTAGTAAGCCGCACCTAATAAAGTGGCCGGTTAGTGTGTATTACAAGTGGGGTTTTTGTAGTATGTATTGAGAAATTCACCTTTTGAATGGTAGTATATACGTTAAATGCAAATGACGTACAATGCTGCTGCTGTGTTAATGGGAGCGTGCATATACACATGTACATATAAAACATGATCAAAAAAAAGTTTGAATTAAAATATACTTGGTGCTGTCTAGCTAAAATCACACAAACACATCTCAAACATTGTGAACAATTTAAACAATATATACATTTTTTCTTCTAAATTTGCTATTGTGAATATAACATGTTTTGGGTGGTTGCTAGGATGTAATGGGGGTTGTCAGGGTGTTGTTATAGTGTCATGAGTTGGGGTTTATATAAATGCATCAGTCACCATATCTCAATACTTCACATATTTATATCTACAGACTCAATATGACAAATGAAATGCTATTTGAGTGGGACCAGAAGGAAAATACCGCTTTGTGGTTGTGATATGTTTTGATTGCCATGGGCAAACAGCATTTGACACATTTTCTACTGGGAAAAGTATGAAGAAACACTGACACCTGCAGGCGAGGAGAAGAATAGACTGTTTTCTGTTAATCTTTCCATTTTAGTGTAAAAACAAATAGTGCTACTTGATTGCTTGAACGTTGGTGACACAGGTGAAGTGGATCAGACTGGTTTCCATTATGATTAACAAAGACTATACTGAGTCATATCAGCCAGAATACACAGGAAACAGCAATAGCACAAATGTTAAGACCTGAACTTATTCATAGGGGGAAAACTGCTTTCTTCGCAGAAGCTTGTCTGTACATGTAAATGTGCCCGCTGCGCTGTCTACCATAAGAAATGTACTGTATGAATCTCGGTCAGTCTTGTATGAGCAATGCTAACACTGATAATCTGATGCTCTGTACAGCTTTCCACTGCTGATCTTGTCAAATGCTTTTTGGCCCACAGCACTGTAAACGAACATCATTCTACACAATGAGTGCCATTTACTTATTATGTACATACTGAACACATGTAAACTACATTTATATAAATCAATAAAAAAAGACTATTAAACACAGTAAAAGCTTTTATCAGTTATTTATTATTAAAAATGCATTTTTTTGCATCCATGCTACAATATATTAGCAAAATAGCCATTTCTAAAGTGTTAAACTGTAATTATTACTTTAGTTTAAAAATATAGAAATAATGTGAATGTAATATTTCATATTATAAACATAATATAATGCAATAAGGACCTTGCAATCACTATGAAAAATGAACTAAAATTTGAAAATATTAATTAAAATTACCTCCCTGTTAACATGAGCCCTGTTACCCTTGAATGTATCAACATAATCCTGTTAAAAACATTAAAATTCTATTTAAAAGTTATGTTTCAGATACAAACACTTCAATCTAAATGTACCTAATAGTACATTATCAAAATAGAAAATGCACCCATTGCATAGAATGGCTTATGATATGATGAATGATCTGATGTGGCTCTGTATTCTATAGCTCATTAAAATGCAGTAGTCAGGCAAAACGTCCCTGCATTTGCACATGGCATGTCCTGCATCCCCATATGCTGTGTCCATGAATAGAACAGCTCTCTCTCTGGCACATTTAGTCATACAGAGTGCCATGGGATCATCTGAGCATCTTCTGTTAGCTGCATTAACCTTCAAAAAAGCTTTAGATCAGATACTGCTTATGATTTCAGTTTACAATATTTTGAAACACCCGTAAGGCCTAGAAACAGATAGTGCAGTATATACGGTAAAGCCAAGAAAACTGTTCTATCCTTCAATGCACACTGTCGCCAGCTGATGGAGCTATAGTTATGTCATATTTGCCATTGAGAAAATAACTGAAAACTCCATCACACAAACTAACTGCTTGGCATGCAGTTTGTAGCACTCTTTTTATCAGGCCATGAGATGAAAGCGCACATGCAGGAATTATTTTCTAACAGGGACATGCATCGATCAATACCTGTTTTATGATGCGAATACATATCCTTATTGAAGATTCCAACAATTATGCTTGCAAAGAAACTTTTATATATATATATATTTTTTTTTATCCAGACCACAAAAAGTCAACAAATATATGCAATCTTTTTATTTAATATTATCTTTATACTCAGACACTATTTAATAAATACCATCTCACAAAGCCACACGGCCCACATATACTGACCTTACAGAAAAACCTGTTACTCATTTGTTACTCATTTGAAACACGGGAAACACAAGAAACGTGGTTTTGGTATGTGGTTTTTAAAGTGATCACATTTTTTTCCTCAAATGAGAATGGTCCAAAATCATAACAATCTTAACAATATCGTAAAATGTGTAGAAATCAATCAAAATGATTATATATTATTTTACATACACAAAGCCACATGTTTCATGTGTGTTTCACTCGTGTTCCACATGTGCTTTTAATGTGAAGCTTATATAAAATTGATTTTGTACAGGCAGAATTGGCAGAAAGTATCATTAAAATAATTGATTACTGAATTATGGACATTTTAAATAGTATCAAATAAAAATGTCTATAAATCTATCCCTGAGTTGAATCATACACTCCAAACAGTCACTTCGTATGGAAACCAGTCTGTCCTCAAACCTTGTCACCTACTCAGGGTCAGCACTCGGGATTCTAGAGTTTCTTGCAGTTTTGAACTGAATCAGATCGGAGCGTATGCGCGATCTCATGGAGCGCTGTGACTGCTGCCGAGCACCCAGATAGGGAGAAGTGGGAGCAGACCTGGCAACATGAGCGTCAGAGTCCCTGCTATGAACAACTTGACAAAACTCAATACTTAACGTCTCTGGGTCTAACACTAAAGTCTGAGTGCCCAGGTTCCACTGCGACTGGCCAAGGAAAAACGGTTGGGTTGAGGAGGTCCAGAGGGACGAGGATGGAGTAGGTACATCCAGTGAAGGAGAGCTACTAGCTGATGCAACCACATTGTTTTGGAACGGAAAGGAAGGGGGTTTGGACGCAGTGGGACTAGGGGGAGCAGTGAGTGCAGTTCCATGACTTACTTTTTGAGGGCTGCTCTTAATTTTTGGCACTTTCCCTCCACGGCCACAGTGCGACTGCTCGTGGTCAAACTCCAGGTCCTCCAGGCGCTGCGTGAGGGCCAGTTTCTGCTGAATGGCCATTCGCAGGAGGGAGTTCAGAGTCTTCTTTTCATCTTCTGCGGCAGCCAGCTGCCTCTGCATCTCATCTAGTTGAGTTACATACTCATCACATCTAAACAAAGAGCAAGAGAGATTTGAAATTTACATTCAAAGTGATTAGCTCTGTTTCCATCCACTGATTTATAAACACATTTTAGGATATCGCATAAAACCACTGATGGGACAGCATTAATGGGCAAAGCTGCAGGCCGACCACATTGTAAAACATTTTAAATGTTGTTTTGGTCCTTCTAAAATCCTTTAACCAAAGCACATCATCAATGTAGTTCAATATTAATAATCCCAGAACTGTCTTGAGCATCTTCCCTCCCAAGGAACGGTCTCTTGCTTCCATAAGCCCCTGCGCATTCATTGTGTTTTGTCTTTGTCTACTGAGGTACACGTATTTATTATATAAGAAAAAACGGCAATGGTGACTCCTTCAACCATTTTCTTTTTAATATTTGGCATCAGTTTATCAGGAAATGATGATTGTGTACTCTTTAACTCATCGGATTGAAACAATGCTTTATTCGCAAATGTTTTATGCGATATTCCAGTTTAACACATAATTTTGATTAACATCTTTGGATGGAAACATAGCATTTGAACTACATCAGAAGACCTTTTAAGTTGGAGGAGAGCGGCAGAAAATGTATATAATGTTAACTGCAGACAAGAGCTAAAAATGTACCTTGTTGCAAACATTGCCCTCAGTGAGGAAAAGGTGGCTGCGTCTTCTTTGAGAGCCTTGAGTTCATTCCTAAGCTTCATCATTGTCTCCGTCACCATGCATTTCTCATTTTCATACTTGCTCTTGAGGTTTGCCAGGGCCACCTCAGCAGTCTAGAAACAAATATGACAAAGATATAATGTTCTTTTAGGTTTGCTTTTATTACTCAATTTAAAAGTAGTTCTTGCAAAGACTTGGTCTTCTACCTGTTTGTTGGCTTTTAGGACAAGACGTAAGGTGGCGATCTGCTCTCTTTTGGTGCTCAGGAGCGATTTGAGTTTCAGGATCTCCTCCATGCAGGCCTCCTTGTCCTTATCGAGGATAGGCGCCAACTCTCTAGCAGCAGCCCTCTGCCTGGACAACTGGAGAGAGCGGTCTACAGCCTTCTGCAGGTGCTTGATTTGGTCACGGATGATGGCGTTGAGGTTATAGATGTTCATGGGCTCCCTGCGGAGATCACCTGTCTCTGGAATTGTGGAGGATGAGAGAGATGAACCATTGATTGGTGAGCCAAATGGGGTTCTATTGGGACTTCCTCCTTCCCCTTTAATTCCGTCTCCAAGGGGTTCCTTCGAAGGAGAGTCTTGAGGACTCTTGGACATGTCTGAGGAGTTCACAGCTGCAAGACGCCGAGCTAAACGTGGAGAAAGCAGGGCTCGTGGGTCTTCTGGGCCTTTGAGACTGCCACTACGTGTGACCCGACTCTGACGGTAGTAGTCCAGCATGACACGATTTGGCGTTTCATTGTTGCACAAGCAGACGTGGTGGTAGAGCTGAGCAAGTTCCTCGCTAAATGTAACCAGCTCATCTTGAGCTGCATTCAGCATGCCGTTACTTTCGCTGGCCATTCCAGAAGCACACCGAAGCTCAGCTTCCAGACTGCTGACCCGCTCACGTGCCTCACGACAGCTTTTCTCCAGTTGTTTCACCTGTTCTTCAAGCGCCTGGACCTTCCCTTCGCTGTGGTTGCTCTCTTCTGATTGGCTCTCCAAAGACTGGTTATACTTTTCCTTCAACACCTTAAGCTCCGCCTTCAAGTCAATGACCTCAGTCACGGCAACTCTGTATTTGCACTCTAGAAGCTCTATTCCATTGATGTCTGTTTCAAACTCACAGCAACCGTTAATAGGACCGTCGCCCTTCTCGGACTCTTCTGTGTCAAACTCCTTGTCATTGTGGAGGCGTTTCATAGCATTAACACGTTCCGTAAGGCGGTGAACACGTCTGTGCTGCTCAGTTAAAGCACCCTGCGTGTGCTGCAGTTGAGTTTGAGACTCCTGCAGGTTGGTAAGTAGAATTGCTTTCTCTCGCTCAACCTGGTGGAAAAAAATATAAAAGTGAACACATAAAAACTAATACATATTTAATAAAATACAAGTATTTATTAATTTAATAATACATAAACATTTAAATAAATAATTTGTATTTATGTAATAATTTATTTTAGTTAAATGAACAAAAATACATTTATTTATTTATCCATTAAGTTCTTTTACATTTCCAAACATTGCAGGTTTATTTAAGTCCCCTAATCCCAGAAACGTCTCCAACACAAACAAACATGCATTATCACTGATTATTACACGGCTGTTTGGAAAACTCTGATTGGTCAGTTGCTACATTCCAAGGTATGCTATTCCCATATAACAGCAGCTGAAACTAATAATACAGGCTCATCGTGGTACATCCATGTTAATCATCAGTGAATACATTTACATACATGTTTATATGCGTGTCTGTCAAGCTGCTGTTTTTGACTATTTAGTGCCATCTTGTGACTAAATAACATAGGCTAGCCTATGCTCCATTCAGTCATTTTTTCTTCTGTCAGATTTTAATAAAATATTATGACTTAAAACTATGTTTTGAGTAAGCTTTTTAAGTTTTGTGGGAAGTAGCTATGTTAAAATCAAGATTATGCACATAACAGGCGGTTGTTTTTGCAGAATAAAGCCCTTCAGCCTTATACAACAGCACTATGCATGGCGTCATCTTGTAACTGAATAAAATGTAGGTTAGTATATCCTCAATTCAGCCATTTTCCTGTCTATCAGCTTTGCCTTTATTTAAAGAATCAATAAAATAAGCTCCACTTTGCATCAGGCTGCAGATAAGCCTGCATGGCTTTATTCTGTGATAACAACCGGCTGAATGTACTTAATGCCATACTTAACATAATATTTTTATTTTTATTTTAAAGATAATATAAGAGACTCTGCATGGTAAAATTTATGCTCTAATGTTATTTGTTTATTAGATCACTGGAAAAACATGGAATATTTTAGTTTATCTATGTGCATATAAAATTCCCATCCATTGACAAGCTGAAAGTTAGGTGTGTTGGCTTGCTTGTCACAAATTTAGCTCAACCACAGACATGTGATTCCTGTCACTGAGCTCAAGTGCTGCTTAATTGCTTTTTGATCACTCATTGTATCGGAAGTGTCAGCCATCCAACAGCTTGAGGCTGAGATAGCGAAAAACTATTGATTCCTTTTTGGAGAGGATCCAAAGAATAACAAAAGGAAATAAATTTGAAAGTTAGCAGAGGTGGATGGGGAAACACTTTTTGTTTGGATAAATGCCAGGCAATCAGATTTATTCGAAGAGTGTGGAAACAAGTAAATAGAAAAAAACAGAGATGTACATGTGCAAAATGCATCTAAATATCAAATAATACTGCAGCTACTGCTTTATACAATATGAGGCTATGTATTTGATGTCCATCCCACACAGTTAGAGAAAACACTGTATACACATTCCCTAGAGGAGACTCCTGGATGCAAACATGTTATGTAATACTTTTATGTGAAATTGATCTGTTTCGACTGTGTGGATGAATTTATGTGTGGTAACATTGTTTTTAAAGCATACATGACCAAATCAGCCCATAGTTCTGTCAACAGATTGTAATAGATATATTTCATTGTAATCTTATGATAATATTTCATTTAATAAGTAATTTTAATTTATATTTTTAATTTGAAAATTATATATATAATTCTGTAAAAAAAAAGAATATATATTTTATTAGAATATATATAAGTATTATTTTTGATTTTCTTTTTCTTTTTAAAATACTTCTCAAATTATGTTTAAAAGAGCAAGGACATTTTCACAGTATGTCCGATAATATTTTTTTCTTCTGGAGTAAGCCTTAATTGCTTTATTTTGGCTAGAATAAAAACTGTTTTTTATTTTTTGAAACCATTTTAGCGTAAAAATGATTAGCCCCTTTAGGCTATATTATTCTCGATAGTCTACAGAACAAACCATCATTATAATAACTTGCGTAATTACCCTAACCTTCCTAGTTAACCTAATTAACCTAGTTAAGCCTTTAAATGTCACTTTAAGCTGTATAAAAGTGTCTTGAAAAATATCTAGTCAAATATTATTTACTGTCATCATGGCAAAGATAAAATAAATCGGTTATTAAAACTATTATGATTAGGAATGTGTTGAAAAAATTAACAGGGGGGGGTACATTTATGGGGGCTAATAATTCTGACTTCAACTGTATATATATATATATATATATATATATATATATATATATATATATATATATAATTTTCTTTTTTTTTTAGAATGACAGACTGAACTACATTCACTGTAACTGTCATGTCATACTCTTTCACTTGATTTGCTGTGTGATGCTCCTTTAAGCAGCTGATGCTCTCTATGTTTCTGTGTCAGCACTGGCAGATTTTCTATTCTTGTCCCATGCTGTCTTTCTTTGCTGAATATGCCCGTGGCACACATACATACAAAAATATTACTGTGTTCCTCTTTTACAGGGACAGCCACAGAGCACTCACTCATAATGGTAATCAACCTGACAGTAGCCTCCCAAAGCACAAAAGAGACCTTTGCGTCTACTGCATTCCACTTTCCTTCATTCAAATTTACACTTGAACACTTAAAGGGGCAATTTGGCCAAAACTGAAAATTGTGTCATTGTTAACTTTCCTAATGTCCTTTCAAGCATGTAATATGAAGATTTTTTTAGAAACACTGGCAACTAAATAATTAGGGTCAGGGTGCGAGCTACGGCGGAGCTAAGGGGCTCTCCTAAATAAGGCAGGGGCTCCTCTGAAAACATGATTTGTGAAATTTTGGAGGGTCTCAAAAATATTCACGAGGTGTTATTTTGTGTGGTTAATGTGCGTTTTTTCAGTATTGTGTAATGTGATCATGGATTATCACGTGTAAAGGTGTAAAAATATAATTCTTGCATGCATGACGGCGATTTACAAATCACTTAAAAAAGTTAACTACATATTCTTGTCATAAGTATCAAGGTGTAAGGGGCGAGCACTGAGGAACAAAGTCCAGTCATGTCAAAAACTGACAGCCAGATGCTGGTGGACAAAAATATGATGTGACGTTGTGTTTTGTTTTATTTGCTTCATACAGTAGGCCAATACAATGGGTTTTTTTTAAACATTGTGACATTGCTGTAAACATGTTGGACAATTAAGCTAAAAGCAGGGTATACTTGACAAAACAGAACCCTTTTCAATGGTGTTTCTTTCATTTTCAAATACACGATTATGTTTTACTGGAGTTATCCTGTGTGTTTTATAGCCTACATTATTGTGGCAAGGGACTCTCAAGATCAAAGTGACACCTCCCCCGTTAGAAAAAATGGGCTCCCCCAAAGGCTACGGTGTAGTTCAAACATTGATTTGGCTTCCCAGTGGCTTCCATTGTACAAGAAATGCAATGGACAAAAGAAGATATTTTGAAAAATTACGTAAACATGTAACCATTGACTTCCATAGTATTTGTTTTCCTATCATGGAAGTTAATGGTTAGAGTTTTCAGTTTTCTTCAAAATATCGTCTTTCAACAGAATAAAGAAACTCAAACTGGTTTGGAAACACTTGAGTAAATTTTCATTTTGGTTGAACTATCCCTTTAAGTTTCCTGCATATTTAGTGTTGAGCAGTTTAGAACAAAGTGAGAGTGAGTACCTGATAACAGACTTTAATTTACAAAAATGTAATGACAAGTGTCTAAGTAGAAGTTTCAAGAGAATGAAAGTGTGACAAAATGCAAGAATACATAAATGAAGAGGTAAATGGCTGTTTTAATAAATAATTTATTTAATAAATAAATAAATAAATAAACAAGAATACAAATTTAGTGAGTCAACAAGATATTCAAATGAGATCTAATTTAAAAGACAGATGGCATTTGAATACTCACTTAAATACTATGTTGACCCTGAACATTTGTATTCTTGTTTATTCCTTTTCATGTGTTCAATACAACCTTTTACCGCTTCATTTATGTATTTATGCTTTTTGCCACATTTGAATATTATGTAGGGTGCTGAGTTGCTGGTTCGAACCTCGGCTCAGTTGGCGTTTTTGTGTGGAATTTGCATGTTCTCCTTGCTATCACGTGGGTTTCCTCCGGGTGTTCCGGTTTTAACCACAGTCCAAAGATATGTGGTACTAGTGAATTGGTTAAGCTAAATTGACTGTAGTGTATGAGTGTGTGTATGTGTGTAGATGTTTCCCAGAGATGGGTTGCGGCTGGAAGGTATCCGCAGCGTAAAAACGTGCTGGATAAGTTGGCAGTTCATTCCGCTTTGGTGACCCCAGATTAATAAAGGGACTAAGCCGACAAGAAAATGAATGAATGAGTAAATATTATGTTCATATGCTCTCTAACAGTAGCCCAGTTGCCAGTTTGCCAGTTCGTAATTGTTTTTTTTATCACTGAATCATTATTTTAAGAGAGACAAAAAGGGACAAAAATTCTGCTTCATTCAGTACCATGAAAAGTGTTTATAAGTTACTGAATAAAATTTTTTTTTAAAAAAATTATAAATATAATTATACCTATAAATATATTTATTTATACAGTTGAAGTCAGAATTATCAGCCCTCCTGTTCATTTTTTCCTCAATTTCTGTTTAACGGAGAGATTTTTTCAACACAATTCTTAACATAATAGTTTTAATAACTCATCTCTAAGAACTGACTTTGTCTTTGCTATGATGATGGTAAATAATATTTGACTAGATATTTTTCAAGACACTTCTATACAGCTTAAATTGACATTTAAAGGCTTAACTAGGTTAATTAGGTTTACTAGGCAGGGTAGGGTAATTAGGCAAGTTATTGTGTAACGATGGTTTGTTCTGTAGATTATCGAAAAAATATAAAGGTTAAAGAGGCTAATAATTTCGACCTTAAAGTTTATTTTAAAAAAATTAAAACTGCTTTTATTCTAGCGGAAATAAAACAAATCAGACTTTATATATAGACTTTATATTATTTTAATTTTAAAGTGTGCATCACAGTTTATCATGAAACCCAACCCTATAATACCCCCTGTCATGAACGAACTACTCATTCAAGTTATGTATGTTTTTAAGAGAGAATGCATTTTCAAACAGCCAAATTAGTAAATAAAATGTACATTTTTAAAAATAAAATAAAAGTGTTTAGTGGAGTGATTTCTCTTTAGCAACAATCTAGTGTATTTGTCCTATTCATGCTCAAAAAAAGAGGTATAACAACTAACATATCAATAATCAATCCAAAAAAATACTATTTGGACTCCAGTCCTACAGATGAAGTCAAAATTATTAGCCCTCCTGTCATTAAAAAAAAAAAAAGTTTAGGAATTTTTCACAGTATTTTCGATAATATTTTTTCTTCTGGAAGATTTCGTCTTATGTGTTTTATTTCACCTAGGATAAAAGCATTTTTTTTAAGCATTTTAAGGTCAATATTATTTGCCCCCATAAGATTTTTTCGATTGTGTACAGAACAAAGCACACTGTTATACAATGACTTGCCCAACTAACATAGCTAAGTCTTTAAATGTCACTTTAAGTTGAATACTAGTACATTGAAAAATATCCAGTAAAATATTATTTACTGTCATTATGGCACAGATAAAATAAATCAGTTATTAGAAATGAAGTATTAAAACTATTATGATTAGAAATGTATTAAAGAAAATCTTCTCTTCATTAAACAGAAATTGGTGACAAAAATATAGAGGGGGCTAATAATTCAGACTTAAACTGTATATTATAATCAGATTATCCCATCTTTTTCGACTGACCTGTATGAGCTGCTGCTTGAGTTTCTGTATCTCAGACAGGTTGAGTTCACTGAAGAGATCAGACACCGGGAGCATCTCTGTCTTCCTGCGATGGTATTCTCCTTTTGGTCCATGTCCATTACACTCATTATTACACCGGTTGCTGTCCTCGTTGTTAGGACTGGTCCCGGAAGCAGACGTGCCATTGGTCGCAGCCTCCTCTGCAAACTTCAGACCCTCCACGGCAGAGATGGCCAGGTGAGTGCTGGCTCCATAAACACTGTCAGTCAGGCTGAGATGATGAGCCAGCTCTTTTCTCAGATTGTTCTTCTGCTCTCGTTCGCTCTTCAGAGAATCCAACGCTTCCTCCAACTGGCCTTGGGAAATGTCTTTTAACCGTAAAGCATCTTCTAATTGACTGTTGAGCAGCACCGTTTCTTCTTCAAGCACTTTGATTTCATGCTTTAGACCCTCATATTCCACCTGTGAGAAATAAATGGACACTCAACTGTGGAATATAATAATCATAATAATGATAATAATAATGATGATAATAAAAAATATAATAATATTAATAATGATGATGATGATAATAATGATTATATTATTATTATTATTATTATTATAGTTAATAATAATAATAATAATAATTATTATTATTATTATTATTATGATAATAATAAAAGAAATAAACAAACAAACAAATACATAAATACTTATAAAAATAAATAAAAATAATAAAATAAGACACACTGTCACTCATTTCAAATAAAAGTCATTACAATTCCAATAATTATAGCCATAAAATAAATATATAAATTAAGAAAAATTATTGTAAGGAGTCTTTTTAATACCAAAAAAAAAAAAACAATATTCCATCTTTACATTTTCTAAAGACTGTATCTTTGAATAAAATAGAAAAACATAAAACAAAAAATAACAAAATTAATTAAATTAAAATAAAACAGACATACTGTCACTCATTCAAACTAAATGTTTTCCTTTTTTAAATTCATTTGAAACAGACTGAGATTTTTACTTTAAAATAAGTTTTTTGGTAAATTTAAATATGGTATAATTAAATGTAAACATCCCTTTCTTTCAAATCAACCAATGACGGTATAGCCCTCACTACCAAGATCTGAGGAAATTATATGTTTCTGAAAATGCTGTTGATGGTGTGTGTTTACCTGATTCTGTTTGAGTGTTGACACCAGTTTCTGTAAAGTGATGTTCTCCTCCTCCAGCTCAGTGTAGTCCTGCAGAAGTCTGGCCTCTCTGAACTTATACTCTCTGATCTCCTCTCTCATCCGGCTCCTCTGCAGCTCTAACGTCTCATTGTTCTGAAAGACACGCAAAAGGACAACACAGAAAAAAGTAAGCACAAGCCTATTGTAAAATTAATATGCAATATACAGTGGAGAAATAAGTATTGAACACGTCACCATTTTTCTCAGAAAACATATTGCTAATGGTGCTGTTGAATTGAGATTTTCACCAGATGCTTGTACCACCCAAAGAAATCCATATATGCAAAAAAAAAAATCCAATCAGTTTACAAATGAAGTTATGAGTAATAAAATGAAATGACAAAGGGAAAAAGTATTAAACACATGAAGAAAGGGAGGTGTAGAAAGCCCAGACAGCATCTGAAATCTCTCAGTAGTTCTTCTGCAACCATTTGCCCTTCCTCACTGAACTGTAAGTTAATATTAGCTGCTTTATTCCAACTTCTACATTACTATGATGAAGATGAATCCAGGGTGGATATTTCAGCAAGACAATGAATCAAAACACAGCCAAGAAAACTCTTAAATGATTTTAGAGAATTTTACTGTATAAAATACAGTAATTCACAAATTCAGGGCTGTGCGAACAGACCAAAAAAGTATCATATCAGGTGACATTTGTCATATACTTTTATCACGACAAATATAAACTATTTAAAAGATTTTAAAGGTCCCGTAAATTAAAATAGAGGTTTTTAATGTTAGGATCACTATGTTAGTCTTAAAGATTTATATACGCTAGTCGGCTTCAAAACAGTAACACAGTTTGCATTAAAAAGATTTAAACAAACAAAGCTTGCAGTTTGTCGCTTCTGCCTAAATAGATCAATACCTGAAATCACCTCATACTTCAGTTTCTCATCAAATTGTGTGACCCATACAATGCTCTAAAATATTTGACATGCCCTTCCCACTTCAAGACGCTTCTTATTTGCTTTTCATTTGATGCGCTGGGTCTCAACCACTCTCAATGGCAGAGCTGTGATAAAGACTAAATGCTGTGTGCTGTTTTTTTAAAAGGGGAGGGGTTACTATAAAGTATGTCCCGCCCCTTCTTCATGTTTCATTTGAGATTTTGTCAAACATCGAATAAAAGTGCACATTTCAAAGCACTTCATGGGACCTTTAAAGGCACATTTTTGCCCCTCAGTGAAAGTTGTAAAAGCATATTAATTGTTAAGTTAAAATACTCTTTATTGTCAAAACATGACAAAATTTCAACCAAACTTTTCACAAATATGAAATGCAAACATACAGTAATGCATAATACATAATGATATGTATTGAACTTGTTCCTTGACTTTGGGGAAACTATGCAGATTTTCTTAATTTAATTTAATTTAATTTAATTTATTTTAATTTAATTTAATTTAATTTAATTTAATTTAATTTAATTTAATTTAATTTAATTTTAATTATTCAATTTTTACGTTGTCATCCATAACATTATACGGGACATATAACTGATCATAATCAGACAGATAAAACCATGCATATAGCATTATGCATATAAATCTGTTAAATATTATTATAACTGAACATATTAACATATATTCTGCCCTAGAATCACCTAGCATTCATGTTTTTAAAAACGTGTTAAGACAAACTTTTTTTAAATTGCATACAAATATAATAGTATGTAAAGTACGCATTTTATGTACATTTGTTTATAATGTATGTGTTTGTGTGTTTATATTTATGTACTGTGCGTGTGTGTGTCTAAATATATGTATATATGTGTGTACATGAATGCATTTATCTGAGTGTACATTTAGGCTTAATCCCAGTTCTACCCCTTAGCCTATCCCCTACCCCACGTTTTGCGCGTTCCTGTAAAGGTGTGTCCCAATTCTCTTTAGCTTAAAGGCGTAGGGCTAAGGGGAAGGGGTGAATACCCCTTCGAATATAGATTTTTCAGGACCACACTCGAAACCAAAAGCTAAGAAAATTTCACAGAATACACCAGCCACAACGTCAGGATGGCTGCACCCGGAAGTAAGATCCACTAATGAGTGTTTTTGTCATATTACAAATTTTTACAACAAACAAACATGTCTTAATATATTCATAAGCGCGTTCATGTTTTACCGTCATGCTTTTAAAAAACGCTAAAATAAAAACCGCTAAATTATGCGATCTATAATTCCTAATCATAACTCCTGTACAGCAGTCCCACAACACTCTGACACTCGATGACACTCCAATACCCTGTCAGAAAAGTCTAGTGGCTGGGAATGAGCTTTTTACAGTGTCTGCAATAATGTTAATGTTGGTTTTGTGTGTTTACAGAGATGAATATGGCCACTGTGTAAATGCGCAGTATAGTTACGATCTTATTGCCTTATTATATCGTTATGATAACATGATATATGCCTTCATGGATTTCTTAAAGATAAATACCCCAAAATAAAGCAATAGGAATAACTACAGCAGCTGCGATCGTCTGACCTCATACTGTATGAAGCATGAGATCAAGATGACATATGATGACGTGTGCAGGTGCTGTAATGCTATCCCTTTTCTTAGGGGTAAGCCCTTCCCCTTCACTCTCGGTTTTAAGGGCCAAGGGGAAGGGGTACAAAAATAGAATTGGAATTGGGACTTACTGTTTATTTTGCTCTATTTGTGCATACATTTGTTTTTGTTTTTTTTGTATTTCTTTATCCGTTTTTTTTTTTTTTTTTATATTTTACCTGATATTGATGTTGTTTCTTAATATTTGTTTGCTTGTGAAGCACTTTGAGTTGCATGTAGGAAAAGTGTAACAGTTTAAAGTGCTATACAAAAAAATGATCATTATTATTATTTTTATTATCATTATGGGATGTGTTGTTAGAAAGCACACCAAAGCAATGTACATTAACATTTCTCTGTGTTGCACCAAACATGGATATACTGTATGATAACTGATATGATCAATCCATAGAGATGCCTTTGGCTTAAATATAAAAAGCACCGAACCCTGTGATGATACTGAGCATGTCCACACTTCTGCAAACAGGAACTCTGGATAACAAATTGCTTGTCGTCAGAGGAAACCCTCAAGTCAGCACTTTCTTCCTCACAGTTCAATCTATGTGAGAAAGTCGAAACAAAGGCTCTTTTAACAGCTGAAACAGAATGTGACAAGCGAGATGACAAAATGTGGTCTAAATCTTAATGCATCAGAGATGGTACAGTAGCGGTAATCTAACAATGATCCACAATGAGAGGCCAAAAGGTAACTCTTTAATGCTATTTAATCACAACGTTTGCGCCAGCACTGACAGGGTAGTAATCTTTGAAACGCTTTGAACTGTTCTTCAAGAGCAGTTCACTGGAAAAATCACAATTGCTGAAAGAAAGAGAAAACCCCCAGCACTGCACAAAGCAGGCAGTACTGCTGATGAAGAGTCAAAGGTGTGGAATAGACATGGGAAGAGAGCCAAACTCAGGAGAAAACCTATAGTTGGCGCTGATTGGGCAGTAAGACAGGCATGTTGACCATGGCATATGTTTATATTCTGAATATTTATATAAATCATGTGTTACCCTGTAGTCATAGGGATCATTTTTCACACATGAAAGCTGAATAAATAAGGCAATATTTAAAAAAGGACAATATTTGAAAATGTGGAGTCAGAGAGTTAAAAAAAAATCAAAGTATTGAGAAAATATTAAACATTAATGATTTCTAAAGTTCTTAGTAATACACATTTCTAATCAGAAATCCAGAATTAAGTTATATATATTTATGGTGGGATATTTAATATCTTATACATGAAACGTTGCACATTAAATTATTCATTCATTTATTTATTTTGGGCTTAGTCCCTTTATTAATCCGAGGTCGCAACAGTGGAATGAACCGCCAACCTATCCAGCACGCTTTTATGCAGCGGATGCCCTTACAGCCGCAACCCATTCTGGGAAAACATTAAATAATTTTTGGCAAAAAAAAAGAAAGAAAATGTAATAAATTTAAATGATCCAATACATGGCTATTGCCAAAAAATAAACCTATGCAACATAATGGAGTCACATATTTTAATAATCTGTTTAATTTTTTATACAGGTCAAAGGTGAGAAGGGGTTGCATAAAGTGTAATACAACTTTATTTTTTCCCTCCAATCATTACAATGTGTCCTGCTTAATTATTGTATTTTCCGAGCAAAAAAAATGCTATTAATTACCAATGATTTACAGAAGAGACCCATTTAAAAGTCACTCAGTGTAGAATTGATGACAAACGAAAACACTCAAAGAGAAAAGACACAAATATTCATGCTTTTCCAGTGTTTTATTCATTTGTCAGCAAGTAATTTATTATAACCACTTATTCTTTTATGAATTTTAGTAAAGTAAAGGTCAGAATAAGTTGTATAATTGTAACATAATTTTGTTACATTAAATTAACATTTATTAACTATATTATATATATTATACTATAACTATATATTTATTGATGGTCACACTTTATTTTGATGGTCTGTTTGTTGAATTTTAGTTACATTGCATGTAAAGTACATGCCAACTAATTCTCATTAGATTATAGGTAGACTGTTAGGTCTGCCTATAGGGTTAATGTTACCTCAGTGTTTCCACTAGGATTTTTTTTTCCAGCTGTGGCGGCAGGCCTTTCTTTTGCACAGATCTACCAACTACCTGTGGCGTTTTTTCAATGAAGAATGTTTTGAGCGCAGTATTAGAAGTCGGGATCGCATTTATGTAATAGCCTACGAGCATGCAAATCTCTTTGCTGGCATGCCGATTTCCTCTGCTCATGCACAAAACTTCTTGCACGCCACCTCAAATATAAGCCACTTCAAGAGCGAGCAGATCTTCTTGTGCGCTCTCAAATAAACGCTGCTGAAGTGCGTTTATGTAACAAGTATGTCTCCAGCATTTATTAGATTTGCTAGGAATATTTATGAATGTCTCCAATAGACCTACAGAGTAGCATTAATGCGTCCTGAAGTAAAGTGAAATGGCTATATGCCATGTTTGCTGGCCTCACGCATCGTGCGCCTGTCAGTCAGTCAGTCAGTCAGTCAGCATGTCACCTTAAAGGGTT